CGTAAAGAAAACTCACTTACACAAGAGCTAATGAATTGTTTTATTTATAGCATTCTCAATTAAATGTTGGCATGAGGTGGAGGTCGTGATACTTTTAAGTTTTGGATTTGAGTACCTTACGTATAAAGTTTAGGGTTTCATTAATAATTACTTTATTTAGTAGTTCAAGAAAGTCTAGAGATAAAGTAGCTCATCACATGGTTATCACCATCAAAATGGAAGAATAAGGGATTAATTTATGAGCAAGGCTTCTAAGGCTCCATGTGGCTATCGTTTTCATGAAAGGAACAGCCATTTGCAGGACATGCTCAAGGTAGGTGATAAAATGCAATATGCATATATATATATATATATATATATAAATTTTGTTCCAACTTCCAAATACTTAGCTAGAAAGATGCTTTTAGAGATCAAATTTTTACAAGTTGTTTGGTATAGATAACGTTAATTAAATTCATTGAATAGCAATTAGAGATTATATATGCCTAGTAATAGTGAAATTTAAGCATCAAAAATGAAAAAGATAAAATTATATATATCAGTTTGATGAGGATTATGGATCTTTATATGGGAGTAGTATCATATTGGCAATATTGACATATTATTTGTATGATATGATGCACATGGTTCTGAAGAAAATTTATTTCTTTATAAATTTTTTTTTTTTGGTATATATATATATATAAAGAAGACGAATGGTGCAACACAAAGACTTTCCATTAGATCATCTATTCTAGTACTATTTTTGAAGACGATGTAGTAATTGGATTTAAAAAAGGAAATTTAAATTTCTTCAAACGAAAAACTGGTCCTTCTGTGGGTCCTTATATATAGATTCCTTTCATCAATTGCTCAACTTGATACGGTGGTTTTTTTATTTTTTGTTTTTTAGCCATGATAGTTTATTATTCCATTTTACCATAAAAAAAACTTCCCTCAATCTAAATGATAATACTATTAGAAAAAAATCCCCTTTTTTTTTAACTCCGAAATAAAAAAATCTGAGTGATACGTAATACATATTTTGTATTTGAGTAGGAGTTGATAAATAATAATATTACCGTATGCACTACATCCAAAAGAAAAAATTAGGGGGTGGGGGGGTGTTGATAATGGGTCAGAAACCATCAGGGTTTCTAGATCCATGTTCCTAGGAAGTGTTTGGGCCCATAGAAAAAGATCCAATCCTAAATCGCAGGCTCTGGGCCCTGTGGTCCATAAGTTCAATTTTCCATCATCTATGAAACGACACTTGTTAGTCCAATCCTCCTTCACAAGAGCCCCAAATGCACAACAAAAAAAGGCCCAATGATTTTCCCCTGTATGTTCTCAAAGGCATAGCCCATGGCTCAATCAGAAGAAAAGGTCAGCGCGTTCCGACTCCATTGTATTTGAATCATCTTAGATTTTTTTTTTTTTTTTTAATCTTATGTCCTAAGTGTATAGATTAAATGTGTAATTAATATATTTTTTATAGTTAATTTTTATTAAAAGTGTAAATGTTGATTTTGATTTAATCAATTAATCAATTAAAGTCATACACATATCAACAGGATTAAAATATATGTCAATTTTTATAATTTTTTATATAAATTAATTATAAAAAATTACATTTATTGTACTTTAAAAGGTATAGATTAGATAAACCCTTAAAATAAAAGGAAATACATCATATTTGAGTATGACATTATATTGGTTTAGTTCGGTTTTACTATATGATTGGTCATTTAATTTAGTGTTTTTCTTAGATAAAAAGTAAACTTTTATTTATTTATCCAAGAATGTGACTTAGCAGCCCTAATTCTTGGCTACTACTCCTACAACTGCTACAAATCAACTTCTAAACTTTTGTCAAACTTTACAATGAAACTGTCAATCACCAACAAAACCTTGGTCGAGAACTTCATTGAATTAGTATTTATTAATTTAAAAATTTTGATTTGAAGTCAGGATCAGATATTCAAATTCTTT